GTGGTTTCAAATGCAACTGGTCTTTACTGAGATGGGCAAGGTCTCATTCCCATTCAAGGCTGGGCATGGACAGGGTGCAAAAGTTGATATTCATTGCTGCTCATTCAAAAATCGAAAGGCGGGATTTTTCCAATGACGAAGATAAGGATGCTGAGCTCTTTGACTTGGATAATGGTGAGGACAATGTGCTCAATGAGGTTTTTGTTGATACATCCTCTGCGTAAGATTCCTTTTTATTCCCTTGCCTTGCAGCCTAAGGCCATAAGCAATAGGTCGTCATTTGTTTCCTGATTTTTTTGCGTCTTGATTCTTTCTACATTTTGGTAGTTCTTTCGTTGCTCTTAGAAGATTTTGTGTCAGTTTCTGAGAAAGTGGGGTGTTGGTCATATTATGAGTAGCTAGTCACTCTTTAGAATTATCAAGGTTGGAGAATGGCTTCTTGTTTGCAAAGATAAAGCTGATGAGCAGAAGCTGCAGAATAGTGGGAAGTGTACCATTTTTGTTACTTTCACAGTCAGGATTGAATAAAATTTATGTAAGGAGAAGGTTTTTTGTTTCTCCTGCAGTTTGATGAGAAATTTTGTTGTTTCTTCGCTATTGATGCTGTTTTCCCCTTGATAGATTTTGCTTGTTGTATATAGCATTTGAGGGTTCCTATGCTACTCCAGTTCTCCGAATTTGTTTTCTATTACTGAGTCATTCGCTTGGAACTGATTAGAACACAATTTTAAGATAATGTGTCCAGTGTCATGATGATAGAAATGATAGTCTTTCATTGTAACTCCCATTTTTTTATCTTTTCATTGTGTTTGGATCTATCATTGAGGCTGACTTCAATATAGATGAGGTTTCACTCATAGATTTCTTTATCCTAAGAGACATGTAACCTAATGGAGTTCGGCCAAGTACTTCATATTGTTGGATTGTATAGAGCGTAGACTTTTCACCCTCAACTACAGATTGTTCTAACATTGGATATTTCATATACCCGTGACATTGAGGGTGAAACACTATAAATCTGAGGTGTGCTTTGCTCGTTTTCTCATTGTTTTTCTGTTTATTATTTCTTTTGGAAGCACGGATCAGGAATTGATCCATAACACATACTTATGTTCCCATATCTTTAATTATCTATCGTAATGGTCTTCAGAAGCTTTTGATCTTTGTTCATTCCAATTGTGAGTGTTTATATAGTTCTTTATTTTGATTTGACCTATCGGTCATTTACTAGAGCAACATTGGCAATAAAAGATGATTTTCTCCTTCCTAGTACCGAGAATGATAATTTATTCGTATGGATCTAAATGTAATGCCAATTCAAATTTCTTGATGGCAGAAGCGTTTGACGAGGACATTGTTAGACCGGCAAGATCTCCATAGGTTGCTACTAGTCGAGAATTTTTCATTTCACAAAATGCCAGACTATTGTTGGGATCAAATGTGGGCTCGGAACCAGGTTTTGCTATCACATCCAACAACCTGAGAAAACACGGTGTCGACCTTTCTATCTGGAGTAGCACTTCCAGCTGTTACTGTATCATACCTATCTTCTGCATTGTGTGCTTTTTGGCAGGGTCGAGCCCCACCACGAATGAAGTGCGAGTCTATTTTCCAAAATTTTGTGGCGCTTCAATTAAATCATATCAGGGTAGCTTCTCCTTTAAACATTCCAAAGCTTGTGATGTTCATGCAGAGTATTGGATGATGCTCTTCATCATTGCAAAAAGGTTGTGAGAGGACCCCAGAGGCATGAGCCAACACAAAAGAAGCTCGAAAGCGATTTTTTAACAAAGAGGAACTAATTTTCCGGATTCCAGTTCGCTTTGAGAAGTGGGAAACTATCATTACTGGGTAATTGCTATAGTACTCGAGTAGTATTATTCAACATGTTCATAGTTCATAAAGTGTCTGTACAAAAATGAGCTAACTTGTACATGATTTATGAGATTGAAAATATGTTTCATGTTTACAAGGGCAGATTAAGATTCTGCGAGTAACTTCACATCACAAACATACGTACGAACATACATA